AGAGATTTGATTTAAAATAAGTGTAAACCGTATATCTGATTTATGAGTATAGATAGTTAAAAAAACCGAGCATTTAAGTTTTTTTATACCTGACCGTGAATAGACAACCAGACCGTTTCGTTTTGATCCGACGCCGATTTTCTTAAGTTTTCTTTATACCTGACCGTGAATAATTAGTGTGACCGGATTCCGGGCTGCTGTAGGCGATTCAGAAAACCAGACCGTTTCGTTTGATCCGACGCCGATTTACTTAAAAAAAAAGGTAATCACATTCTCATTTTTTTTTAACCGCCAGATACCCCATCAGAGTTCTAGTAATCACAAATTTTAGTTTCAGTACAGTAGAGTTTTTTTATTTTATTTTTATGGTATAAAATTCCTTTACGGAGGAGGAGTTAATTAAGGTTCCTCTTTTATTTTACCATAATAATAATATTTCTTATATATCTGATTTATTTAAAGATGCATGTGAATATGTATTGCTAGTATTTCTCTATTATAATATATCTTTACAGGTTTGAATTTAAATCATATGAACTTAATTATTTGCTATTGTAATTAACTGATTTAATTTCTCTGTGTTAGATTTTGCGATATTTCATGTTTTAGTATTTTCTTCATATTTTCTTTATTTGAAGATATTGGATTCATAATTAATTTAATTTATTAATTCATTACTTAATTATTTGCTATTGTAATTAACTGATTTAATTTCTCTGTTAGATTTTGCGATATTTCATGTTTTAGTATTTTCTTCATATTTTATTTATTTGAAGATATTGGATTCATAATTAATTTATTTAAATAAACCTCGTTATGGAATATATTCGACTTTAACTGGCTTTTACCCCATTTCCCTGGATTCTCCACTGTAGAAAAGCTAACCGTATTGGCCGAGGTGGTCTCTCAAACACTTTAAACTTTGGGGGTGGCGCCCGAGAACAAAAAGACCGACTGTTAGGCGTTAGTAATAGCTCTCTAAGAAAAAAGACTGTTACACTACTGATCCAGAAATGTTATAATCAACGCCAAGATGTCTTTGTGTGCTTCATAGATTATCAGAACGCTATCGACAACGTTAAACACGATATTTTCCTAAACAGACTGCTCGAGATAGGAATAGACGCCCCAAAGACATTAGAATCATACAGGAACTATATTGGAACCAAACCGCGGAGATAAGAGTTAACAAAAATTTATCTACAGTCACCTTCAATGTGTGCAAATACACCAATACACCAAGGAGAAAGTGGATGAATTAAGATTAATAATATAAGAGTTCCAATTAACAATATAAGATATGCGGATGATACGGCAATCCTAGCACCAACTTTAGAGGATCTCCAGCAAATAATAAATAAGATAGAGGACATGGGAAATCGTTTCGGTCTTAAAATCAACGCTACTAAGACCAAACTTATGGTAATAGGACGCCAGCCTATAATCAACACCGCATTGACGGTGGATGGAAATATTATAGAACGAGTACCACGATTTAAATATCTAGGTGCTATGATCAATGAACGATGGGACTGCGATGAGGAAGTTAAACTTAGAACGAATTATGCAAAATCAATATTTTTTATACTTAAAAACTTCCTATTAGTACGCAGTCTCCCGCTAGCACTTAGACTACGGGTAGTAAAATGCTACATATGGCCCATCTTACTATACGGCGCAGAAACGTGGTCTCTCAAGGCTAGAACGCAACAGAAAAATACTCGAAATGAAAGAGCTAAAATTGCACAAATAGAATACTAGATGGCGCGACAATATCATAATCAGAATATAATTAGAAATTTTGAACTTTCGGTTTTGGATCGACGGCTCGTCGACGGCCTTATAGCTCGGCTAAATATGCACAGTTGCCAGATCCAAAAAGACTTGAATTGGCATCCCATTCTTTTTATTGTGTATAATGCAGTATGTGTTTCTTTCTATTCTTCTTTTCTTGTCAGATACACTTATATTAATTATTCCTTTGGCTATTAAAACAGTTTTAAGTATATTATTACAAAACATATACATTTTTAATATACACTATACCTTATAATGTTAACTAAGAAAATGCCTTTAATTACCTTTAAAATTAATAATATACAGGGCAATTGATAGTGATATTTATTAATGCTGGAACGTTAGTAATGAAATATAAGTTTAATAATAATGGAAATAATTTATTAAAATGCAGTACAAAAAATGTTAACTGACTAAAAAATACTATAACAAATTACTTCCGTTTGCCACGTTATTTATATAGACCTAGGTAGATTTTAAAAAGTGACACAGATACAATTAATAATATATTAGTTCGGCATAAAAGTTGCTGTCACGACATCGAACAATAAATTAAAATTCGTAAAATAAATTAAAATTATAAAGATTTGTTTCTTTATAAAGAAACGCAAGTATACCAAATTCGGGCCCAATCGAACTCCAGGAAATGATATCATAATAGTGTACTATATTATGGTACCACTCGATATACTTTAAGGTACCATAATATTGCAATGTCACCGAAGATCGGTAGTATACCAAATTTAAGAACAATCGAACGCCATGAAATGGTATCGTAATATGGTACTATATTAAAGTACCACTTTATATGCATCATAGTACCATCATATTACAATGTCACCGAAAATACGTAGTATCCCAAGTTTAAGCCCAATCGAACGCCATGTACATAATATAGTACTATATTATGGTACCAGTTGATATGCTTCATGGTACCATAATAATGCAATGTCATCAAAAATACGCAAGTATATATCAAATATGAGCTCAATCGAACGCCAGGAAATGGTATTGAAATATGGTACTATATTCAGGTACCACTTTATATGCATCATAGTACCATCATATTACAATGTAACCGAAGATACGTAGTATAACAAGTTTAAGTCCAATCGAAAGCCAGGAAATGGTATCGTAATATGGTACTATATTATGGTACCTCTTATTATGCTCCATGATACCATAATATTACAACATCACCGAAGATACGTAGTATCCCAAATTTAAGCCCAATCGAACGCCATGTACATAATATGGTACTATATTATGGTACCAGATGATATGCATCATATTACCATCATATTACAATGTCACCGAAAATACGTAGTATACCAAGTTTAAGCCCTATTGCCGCCATGTACCTAATGTTGCTATGTCATCAAATATGGTACTATAGAAGGTACCACTTTATATGCTCCATGGTACCATGCTATTACAATGTCACTGAAGATATAGTATACCAAGTTTAAGCCCAATCGAACGCCATGTATCGTAATATAGTACAATATTAAGGTATCACTTGATATGCTTCTGAAAAAAACGGCGTCCAGTTGGCTGGAAAAGGACGATCGATGACATTTCCCATATAAATTTACATATAAAATGACAGTGATATTCATTTCATAGCTATCGCTAACGCCGTTTTTTCCCGATTATACAATATGAACTTGGTATGAACACAATCGAACGTCAGGAAGTGGTATCATAATAGTAGAACAATACTTATTATATTGTCGCCGAATTACAATGAAAATTCAGGATTCAATTATACAATCAAATATTAGGAAGTGATTGTAATTTAGCTCATAAGATTTAATTCCATCTAACATGGCAAACTGAAAAAAACAGCTCTGATCTATTTTAATATGTTTTTTAATCAGGAAGTATTACGATATGAATTACACAATGGCAACACTGCACAAAATTCTTTTAAATTTTTAGTTTGTAGAAAACTGTTTTCTTTTAAATTTATTGCCCTCTATTATGTAGTAGCGAAACTACGACATCAAAATATCTGATTTGGAAACAGACTTTTAAAGCCTGTCTCCTTTTGCTACCTAAAATTTTATACATGTAACGAGGCTTCTGTTGCGTAGCTAGATATTCTGTGCTAGAACCCTGAACCGCATCGAGGCTTTCGAGATGTGGACACTCCGGAGACTCTTACGTGTACCATGGACCTCACATGCCACTAACAAAGAAGTTTTAAGAACTGCAGGTTATGAACGAGAAATGCTTAATATAGTTAAAGAAAGAAAAGTTTCATACCTCGGCCATATCCTTAGAGAAGACAAATATTACATTCCTAAGCTCATTCTACAAGGAAAAATAAAGGGACGGCGAGGCCCATGAAGAAAACAACATTCCTGGCTAAGAAACATACGGGATTGGTGTAACATCAACGACGCAGCCACCATATTTCGAAGAGCCGAAAACGGCATTCTACACATTGTATGAAGAGTACAGACAATCGCCAACGTGCGGCTAAGCACAAGGCACAGGAAGAAGAAGAAGTGTACATCGTTTCTGCAGGGATTGGAAATTGTGATTGCATATTTCTGTTTTGTACTAAAGGTAAAAGTCAAAACGCTGGATCAGGGAAAAGCAGCATGTCCACTAAAAAACAGACAGGGGCGCACACATAGCAAGGCTATTATCCAAGGGGCTAGCACTAAAACAACAAACGAACTGCTAATGCTTAGCAGGAATAAAGTGCGGATTACTAAGTACAAGTCTCTTGACAGAACATATGGCTGTATAAGGATAAAAGAACCACCACCAGTAGTACCCTCTACCCTAATGGAAAGTATGGTTTAGGGTTGTTACGGAATTTTTCACAATCGCCATTCGCTTTAGCATTAAAATGTGTGTAAGAATACCAAATTTCAGTAAAAACAGTTTACCAATAATATAATATAATATAATATATAATTTAAACAAAATATATTATTTTTAATTAAACTTACGAAGGGCTTAATTAAATTTAAAAGGGCTGTAAATTCTTCGGGAAGCATTTTAGGACATATGTTCATAGGAACTTTTTGTTTTATTTTTATCTGTAAAATCACTTACCAAAGTTAGATACACTATTTTTTTGACACCCTGTATTTACTAATTAGACTTATTGATTAATATGTCATGAATCCTTTTCGCAAATTTAAACGTTGCTCAGAACATTAAAACATTATCTTCTTTTGTTTCAGGGTGACATATTTTCCGGTTTAAATGACGGACTAATCAGTAGGGCGGAAGCTTTGGCAGCCGTCGACATCAAGCACCAAAGTTCGGGAGGACCTGGCGGTTTGCCACAGCTCAAGCACGACATGATGTACCATCACAGTATGACAGCACCACCCCCGGTTAGTAGACAACATCAAGTAAGTTAAGGGTAGGATGTTGTAGCACTAAATGCATTAGAAAATTGTTAACATAATATACGACTTACCAAATACCGAGAGTCTCATTTTAGCGTGGTTTAAAGGGTTTCTCCTTTATGAGTAGAGGTACAGACATGCGGTTTTCATATCACTTTGCTACTTTTTTACGAAACTAAAAATTCACAGTCCTTTACAAAGATGCAACCGGGGGGGCATTGAAAATGATGAATAAAAACGTAAAAATATGATTAGTGTTAATATGAGTGTATTACATACATATGTTTAAATAACGAACTTAACAAAAAACAACAGATTTAAAGATTCACTGAAAAAGTAGTAGTGTTAACATTAAATAAAACATTATCAATAATAATTATGCGATCGCACTTATCCGTAAAACAAGCAAGCAAAAAACCTCGAAAAAACAAATAACATACAAAACATCAGGTTAACATGATGACAGATCATGATCAATGACAGATAAAGAATTCTTACGGAAAGTTACACTTTACGATATAATTTTTAACTGTTAAAGGCAAACCCATTTAAACACAAAAACTTTTTAATACCTACTACTGTATCTGAAAGACTTTTTTTAAATTACTAATTTTTTTAGCCACGCTTCTGTTTTTCTTGGCTGTTGTGCGTCACGTCACAGATTAACAGGCCCACGTTTGCACCACAAGGCGATGCTGCAGCCCACTAGGTAGACCGGTCGTAGAAATTTATGTTATACAACTTGTAGTCAATCTACACAAATATTATCAAAAAAAAATTTTCTTTTAAAATGTGTTCAGATTTTGTAAAAAGTATAAGTCAAAATCACAAAACTTAAATTTGATATGAGTTTCTTAGTTTTTAACTAATATAGTGGCGAATTACAAAAATTCCTTTTCAATGAAAATTAATGAGTTAAATAAAATAATTTAATAAATTACTAGCTTTTTCTCGCGACGACGTTCGCGTTACACCTCGAATCGTTCATGAATTGATTTAAATGATTTTTTACTTCTTTATAGAGAGCTAGTGAGCATAGATGTTTTTTATTTTTCATCTTTTTTTTATTTATTAAGAGCACGAATACTCTCTTTATAGGTTATTTTTTATTCTTTGAAGGATAATTGAGGAAGATATATTTCGTTATGATGTCACTAAATAAACCCTTGTATAAAATTTTATACTGTCTGGTTTATAACGTTATAGTATTGCATTTTCGTACAGCAAACTTTCATTCCCTATTCTACTCCTTAAAAGTATAAATTTTATAAATTCGCTTTACCTTTGTGCCAATTTTTATGTGTATAATCCAGAGGTCACCAAGTTTTATATAAATTTTTACTAACTTTACCCATTTGGTTGATGAATTTCAAAAATTTCTTCTAATTCTTTTTGTAGGATTTTATTCTTCTAGACCAAATAGTAAGGAATTTTCATACAACAAACTGTTCCGAGATAATTTTGCTCTCTAAGAGGATGAATTTCCTAAAATCGCTTTGTGTAGCAATTCACTAATGTCGTTTAAACGAACCTTTGTGCTAATATTTATGTATCTAAAGCTGGCGGCATGAACTCACTCTAAAATATGTAAAAACGTGATATATAATCTAACTGACACACCACTGACAATGACAAATAATTTATTTCTGGAGGTATTTTGTGTAGGTGTTTTTCAGGTATGTTTTAGTATTTAGTCCTTTTACACAAAGAAATAGCCATTAAGCACTATAAAAATACTTCATAACAAATCTACACATATATATCTTTCATTTAAAAAAAAATCATCAAGATTGGTTAAGCGGTTTTGGCGGGATGGATGCAACAAAAAAACCCTTTGAGCTTTTATATATGATTAATTATTTTTCCAACATATTTTACTTTGCAAATTTTTATAAATATTCAGACTCGCCAATATCGTACTCCACCGTGTCCAGCCTGTTTAGCCAAACGTAGGCCGATTCCTCTTCGGCCGCGTCGTGACCCTGGCCGAAGGAAGAGTCTTGAAGACGCTCATCCACGCATAGGAATAAGTTGACTGTGTAGCGTATTGCGTATTAATCGATTCTGACACTTTCTATCTCGTGTATAATGTTACGCAAGTTTATTATTTTAATCTCGATTTTAATGGATAAATCTGTGAAATGGCACCTGAATATCTTCCGCCATGACATGTTTTTACTTTTTTGTTATGGTAAAGTGATTTGTATAAACTTTATTCAATAACGTATATTTTCCTCCATTTGGTGATTTTTTAATTTTAAGCGAAAATTAAGTATAACATTTTAGGAAAAAGAAACATGTAATATTTAAAAGAAGAAGAAATTAGTCTTATTTTGAAAGGAAAATATAGAAAAAACTCTTTCTATAGAAAAAGTCTTTATACTAACCAAAATCCGGTGACATATACGCGGTCTCACCGGAAACATTACTTATTACTTCGCATAACTTGAAGCATATCTACTTTTAATAATGAACACTTCAGAAATACACCAGTAAAGACATTTATTATTTGAGATTAAAACTCGAATTAAATTATAAATATTAGTTACCTATGTTGTTATAGCTTTTATAGGCCTGTTTAACGACTTAATAAGTTACCTAGCGAAAAAATCTGTGCGCGTACCTACCACTATTGTTACAGGTTAATTCGTTAAAGAAATATGTTACACAAGTTAAAAACGCTAAAATTTTAATGGTATTACTTGTGCATTATTGGCCTTATAATGTAATTTGTTGGAATTATATCTTCTTTAAATATAATTAGACTTTTTAACGACTTTTAAGTTACCTAGGAAAAATATATGCACGTACCTACCAGTATTGTTACAGGTTAGTTCGTGAAACAAATGTGTTACATTTTATTCGTGGTATTAGTGGTATTATATTGGAATCAGCTTGGCATTAGTGGGGCATTATATGAGAAATTTTGGTATTTAATTTGTATTTTTGGCATTACTTTGGCATTAGTATACAGACATTTGTCAGCGGTTTACTCCTTGTAGATAATCAAAAGTTTTTGATAAAATTTGCTTTTTATGTCAGATCATTTCTATGAAAAATTACATTAGATTTTTATTAAAGACGCTGGGTAATTAAAACATTGAGTAATAAAGCTTGTCCACTTTAAATAAGGGGTCACGAAATATCCTCCTTGGAGTGTTTGGGTTAAGGGGTGTATAATAAATTAATCTCGTTGTTTTATAATAAAAACCATAAAACATTTATTTGTGAGTAAAATAATGCAATGGTTGGACTCTCCTTTATAATTAGGTGACTAAAAATACACTAAAATAATTAGAAAAAAAATCTTGTACTTATTTAGTAATTACGTCAATATTAATTAATTGACTTTCTAATCTATTCTATTTTATGTACAAATATATTATTAAATTTTAAGCATTAAGTAATTAAACACTTTGTGCCCTCTTATGTCGTAAGAGGTTACGAAATATACTCCTGGTTACACCCCTTACAGAAAACAGTGTAAGGGGTGTAAATAAATTGTATAATCACTGTTTTTTAAAATAAAAACTATAAAACATTTCTTATTTGTGAGATTAAAAAAACAAAACAATGCATTGGTTAAAATAAGTACATTCAATACATATGTATGTGTTATAACATAATATAGCCATTACTATTATACTATTATTATTAAAATAATATGTGTGTAACATATTTCTTTAACGAATTAACCTGTAACAGACATTTATATGCCCAGTATATTTTTGCTTAACAAACCAAAAATCCAAAACCTACCGTTATAGGAGGTATAAGATGATTAAACTTATATAATGACAACTACTTATCGGATAACAAATAAATTACTACTGTCAGCTAGTTCAGCTACTGTCTAGGTAGAATATACCTAGAGTACCTACACCTACCTATGATGTAGGTAGATTAAAGCTTATTTTGACGTTACCTCTCACTTCGGTGTCACAAGCTGAATTTTTCAGGGATGGAAGTACAGTACATGATATGGGGACCCTTATTCCGAAAGTAGTACAAAATTAGACCGGGTAAAAGGGTACTATCATCAAAAATCGATATATTGATACCACCGTATAGAGAAAACAAATACTTATTTTTTGATCCAGTACACAATAAAGTCTTCGTAGGGAGTATTTTTTATAATTATTTACAAAAAAACATTTCCATTAGCGCTTATGACCAAAAAAAACTTTAAACATGAATAATCATTTCAATCATGCGAAAATTTGGTTTAAAAATAGATTTTTTTTAATATAACTTTCATTTAACGAACATAACGAACGAAGGCCTAAATGAAAAAAAGAAACAATTTAAAAGTTTCGCTTATGTCTTGACAAGGTATCAAAGCAAACCCCATATTTTTTGCTTTTAAACTAATAAAGATATATCAATAAACAATTAGCGATGTAATGGTTTTTGCGCGCGCTGGCCGACTGCCGCCGCTGCGCCGAGATTTCCTATACCCTTGTATATAAGACGTCATGGTGTGGCAAATGTAGCATTTTAATTCGATTTGGGCTCCCTTATATAGGATAACAGAAACATTTTCAATGTTAATATGCTACACACAGATTTGTCCTAGCCCTATTAGTTCCTAAAATACAGGGCAAATTTGAAATTGTTGCATTTTTCGACTACCCTCGTATCTCGTATCATATAACTTATCAAAAAGGTAAAAACTGAGTTTTATTAAGTTTTTCAGATATAATGAAGTAACGTAACTAGTTTTATGCTAGGAGCTAAATGGGATATCCTGTATATTTTTTTTATTTTATTTGCCTTGTCGTGAGTTTTCTAAAATATAATATATTCTAGACTTATTTTCATAAAGAAGGTAAAAAAAACTTTGTAATTTTTAACTATAGTAATACCAGTCGATTCTCGTGGTAGAAGCAACAATAACTAATAGTACTTCATTTGATAATCAAATATTTAACTAAGCGGTCGTATATTCAGTTAAAGTTATTGAATGTGTTAACAGTTTTTAAAGAGAAATAAATTTAGTTGTA